TTGGAACGCTCCGGACGACCATCGACTTCGATTGATGATCGCCACATCAACAAAATCAAAGAATTGGTGCTTGCAAATCGTCGGCTAACCATTCGAGACCTTGTTGACACGGTTGGAATATCATTTGGGTCGGTGCAAGCGATTTTGAAGGATCATTTGGGCCTCAGAAGACTCAAATCACGTTTGGTGCCGAAATTTCTCAATTTCTTTGAAAAAGAGCGTCGCGTTAAAGCGTGTGAAGCAATGCTTTCTGACTATCAAGACGTCTACAAACAAATTATTACTGGCGATGAGACTTGGGTCTACGCATGCGACCCTAAAACAACCGACCAATCGAGTGAATACCGTGAAAAAGGCGAGCCGAGACCGAAGCAACCACGTCAAAGTCGCTTAAAAATCAAGGTCATGTTGACTGTTTTCTTTAATTATTGTGGTGTCGTGCACTACGAATTCCTTCCAACTGGCCAAACTGTCAACAAGGAATATTATTTAAGCGTTATGCGACGTTTGTGTGAAGCTATTCGCAAAAAGAGACCGGAATTATGGGCCAATAACTCTTGGATTTTGCACCACGATAATGCGCCTTCGCACACAGCACTGGTTCTTCGTGAGTTTTTGGCCAAAAACTCTACCCATGTTGCTCCACAACCACCGTATTCGCCCGACTTAGCACCGTGTGACTTCTGGCTGTTCCTAAACCTCAAGAGACCACTCCGGGGAAATCGTTTTGAGTCCATTAAAGAGATCCAACGTGAATCGGCACGCGCATTGAAGGCTATCCCTACCGAGGACTTTTCGGCATGCTTCGAAGACTGGAAAAAACGTTGGCAAAAGTGCATTGGGGCCGGGGGAGATTATTTTGAGGGGGACGATACAGATTTGGAAGAAAAAATAAAGTTTTTTCATTTTATAAAAAAATTCACCTTACTTTTTGATCACAGTAGTACATCAGCAAATGGCTCAGTTACTGGCTCATCTAACTTTTCTCTGATTTCCGATGCAATTTCAGGTGAGGGGTCTTTATTTACATCAAGTACTTTATCAGTTACATTCTCACTAGACTCATTGATACTATTCTCATTGATATCATTAAACTTTTCTTTTGGGGCAGGATACGGTGCAAGATCTTGAAGTAAAACAGTTGACTCTCGTTCATTAAGGTAACGAATATTAACATATGTTGGATTTACTTCCACTAATTTAACCTTATCCACGAGATTATCGTTTTTGCTTGTACGCACAAAACATCTTAGAAAAATTGGGCTAGGAGTTAACCATGAGGGTAATGAAGTTCCGGATGACGAGCGCCTAGGTAAACTGAATAACCTCTCATGGGGTGTACAATGAGTTGCAGTTGAAAGTAGCGAACGGAGTGAGTGGAGAGCGTCTGATAGAACAATTTCCTAATTTCTAACATCTAGGTTGTGGGTTTTTGATGCCAAACAAATATTTTTCCAGATCAAGCCATTATATCTCTCAACTTGTCCATTACTGATAGGATGATATGGGGTAGAATTACTTGTTGCATTTCCTTTCTGAGTAAGGTAAGAATTTAATTCATTAGATATGAAAGATGAGCCTCTGTCGGAATGAATGTACGTTGGAAAACCACAAAAGGAGAATATTTGATCTAAACACTTCACAACAGTTGTTAAACTAATATCAGGACATAAGAAAGCAAATGAATACCGAGAATATTCATCAATGACTGTAAACAGATATTTATTTCTAGAATTAGATGGTAATGGTCCTTTAAAATCTATACTTAGGCGATCCATTGGACGTATTGACTTGATTAACTCACAGACATTTGAGGATCGATAAAACTTTGGTTTTAATTCTGAACAAATCTGGCAGTTAGAACAAACTCTCTTGACCTCTTCTGTAGAAAAAGGTAAATTTTTAGATTTAACAAAGTGAAGCATACGAGTAACCCCTGGGTGACATGGACAGCTATGTATACCACTTAGGTTTGTTTGAGATTTGGTTGTAGCACAAAAAGCATGTGTGAGTGCATCAGGGACGATATTATCGCTTCCAGGACAATACAATATAGTATAACTAAACTCTGCTAACTCCACCCTCCAGCACTGAATCTTTCTATTTTTAATCTTTGTTTTCTTTCGGTTATCAAACATAAAAGCTTCAGAACGCTGATCAGTAATTAATTTAAATTGATTCCGTAACAGTAAATGTTGCCATTTTCGAGCGGCTTCAATAATAGCTACAGCTTCTTTTTCTACTGATGAGTAATTGATTTCACTTTTGCCTAATGTTCGAGACATAACGGCAACTGGACGACCATTTTGATTCAAGGTAGCTGATACGGCTACATCTGGTGCATCACATTCAACAACAAAAGGTAATCTCTCATCAATAGAACTCAAAGTGGCAGCATAAAGTTCTCTTTTAAGAAATTGAAATGCTTCAAGTGCCTCACTATTGATAGGAAAGGATTTAACATTAATTAAAGGCCAAACTTTATTAGGAAACAAAGGTATCCACTTTGAATAATAAGAAAACATATCCAAAGTTCGCCGAAGTGATAAAATGTTAGAAGTAAGAGGTAGTAAGTCTAAAGGACGTAATCGCTCAGAATCTGGTTTTATGTTGTTATGACTAACGCAATAACCAAGAATGTTTATAGAAGAAGCTGAAATAACCGATTTTGATTCATTTAAAGTTAGACCCCAACGTTGTGAAGCGTCTTTAAACCGCAGACATTTTTTATCTGGATGTGCCATAACCACCAATGGTTATATTGTCAAGATATGGAAAAGTGTCATGTAACTTTTCTTCTTCAACAAACTTGTCCATAGACCTTTGGAACATAGACACACCATTAGTAACTCCAAATGGAATCCTGCAAAATTGAAATAGTTTCCCATTTGCCTCAAATGCTGTATACTTTTTGTCTGAAGTTTTAATAGGGATTTGGTGGTAAGCACTTTTCAAGTCAAATGTAGAGAATACTTTGTACTTTGCCATTTATCCATTAGTCCATTTATCATATCATCTATTCTGGGAAGAGGGTATGCATCTAACTCAGTGTAAAGGTTAACTGTTTGAGAGTAATCAATACAAAGTCTTATTTTGTTAGATTTAGTAAGATCCTTTACGACCACTATCTGGGTGAGAAACATGGCTCAATTATACCATCCGATAATTGTAATATTTCACTTTCAATAAAGTTTCGATCATCATTATTATATCTTCTTGATTTTGTAGCTATTAGCTGAGTTTTGTCTGAAATGCTTGTAAACAAGGATGGTATTTTTATTTTTGCCATTTGCAGTGCACATAGGTTACTTTCCTTTGTGACAATTAAGTCTTCTTTTTGTCCATCGAGTGAAAATATTAAATTTTTGTGTAGTTTTCGGAAGTCGTAACCAAGTATGATATCACTACAAAGATTTTCTAAGACACCAAATTGAACATTATTATAAAATAAACCATTTACTTTAAGATTAACTGAACAACAGCCCACTAATCCAGACTCCATTGTTGTGAGGGCCATCAAAATTTTCCTTTTACTGGGTAATATTTTAATTTTTAAAGTCTCGATAATTTTCTTGCTTATAAAATTATCTGAGCTACAGGAATCGATTAGTGCAGTTAACGGTTCATCATTAATTCTGACAATAACAGCTGCATGAGAGAGGCTCAACGGACAACCACTTGAAACAGTACACAAACTTGGTTTATGTACTGCAGCTGAAACACTGTGGGTTAAATTCATCAGCCTGCCAAGACAAACTTTAGAAAAATGACTTTTTTTTCCAAATTTAAAACAGGTTACGTTTTGGGCTGGACAATTTTTCCTAGCAGAGGTTTGATTACGTTGGTTGTGAGATTGATTACCACAATAAATGCATTTTGTTTGAGGATTAATAGTCATAGGATTGAGTGCTGCTGAGGGTTCTTCTGGTAATTTTATAGCGGCAACGATATTTAAATTGGAGGAAAGGAAGGATGTTTTCTGCATATAAGAATCTGAGTTTCTTTGTGCAATGTCAAGAGAACGCTTGGTTAAATGCTGATTGCAAATTCTATGTTGAATTTTCAAGAACTTGTTGACGAATGTAATTCGAATTTATTCCAGAAATAAAAGCATCTCTTATTTGTTCCTTTCGATATTGTTCAGCTGAAACATCCTTGTAATTACAGTTTTTACTGAGTTTACGTAGTTCCTGAAGAAAGTCTTCTAAGGATTCACTCGATGTTTGATGTCTTATAAGTAATTGATGCCTTGCAAAAATTTCATTAGGGGTTTTTACATAAAAGTTTTCTAGGGTTTCAATTACACTTTCATAGGAATCACACTCTTCAATGTAATCATAAACATTTGAAGAAACAAAATTAATGATGGAGCGAAATTTGTCTGGAGCATCCTCTCCACAATCCTCAATGAAATTTTCAAATGTTCGTTTCCAATGTTTCCATTCTTTTGAAGCAGTTGGTGCATTACGATCAAGATCAAGCCTCGTCAGTTTTAAGATCTTTGATATTTCCCAATAAATTTATATGTTTGTTAAATAAGTTGTAATGAAATAATAAAAAGATTGACCTCTTGATTAAGGCTTTATTTAACAATAATTGTACTAATCTAAAGATACAAGAAAATAGACACATATATAAAACAAATAGTTCAATAACAAAAAATAGAAAACACAACATAGTGTTTTTGTTTTTGTTAAAAAAATATTTTTTTTTAAACATGCGCGAAGTGTTGTTTCTAGTGAATTACCAATAAGATTTTTTTGGCCGATGCCGATACCGATGCTGATGGGTGAGAAAAGGTCGATAACGATGCCGATACCGATGAATTAACTAATTATTAAAAATTTAAACCCATACAACTTTAAATTGATACTGTTAAACAAATACTTGGACCCAAGTCAAAGCCAAACAATTATTTTAATCTTTGTTAATCAAGGTTTGTGTTTCCAAGTTATAAAACTGAGAGTGGGTTGTAGCCATAACTAAAGAAGCCTCCTCAATTAAAGTGGCCATCGTAGCCTCAGGGAGGTGAATTGAAATAACAAAATAAAAAATATTGAAATATACTTGATACTTGGCTATGCATAAATACTTGAAATAAGGCTGAACTATTTGCAAAGAAATTCTCTTATAATCTGATTCTCAAATCTTATGGCTTTTCTCTTCCTTCCATTCTAATTAAACAGGTTAACCCATTGTTAGACATTCAAACTACTTCAGCTTCCATTGCTCATAGTCATTTCTCAATTAACTTCTACGGCTTGTGGTCTAGACAAAATTCCTGTCATAGTTGTACAAAATTGTTCTTAATGAATTAATTTTCTCTAAACTATTTATTAAGTACTTGACTGATTCTTCTTTTCCTGCCTACTGGAAAATGGATCTGTTGTTCTTTTTTTTAAAAACTCTGGTAAACATACTGACCCCTCCAAATATTGTCAAATCAGTCTTCTTTCTGTTATTCTGATAAACATATTTCTGACATTCCAACTTTAGTCAAACAACTTGCTGTCAGACAACCGATACCTGTTTCAATCCTCTTGCTCTATGGCTGACTTGGTAACTGCTGTGACTGAAAGATTTTATTGTGCATTAGATGGAGGCTTAGACGCTATTGCTCTAGACATATCTGAGGCTTTGGACAAAGTTTGACATGTTGATTTTCTCCATAAGCTTGTTTCATATGGTGTATCTGGGAAATTTTTGAGATTATCAAATTGTTTTTTTTCTAATTGCCTTAATAAAGTCATCCTCGAAGGTCAACATTCTTCTTTATTTCCAGTAACTTCTGGGGTACCTCAAGCTTTTATCCTTGGTCCTGTTTTATGACTTATCTACATTAATGATTTTCCTGACAACCTCACATCTAAAGTAGCTCTTTTTTCTGATGACTCAACTTAATACTAATGTCTTGACAAAAAATCTTCTATTTTTTTGCTTAGAATAGGCAACCCAAAATAAAAATTTATCATTTAACATAAATAATTCATTTTTTTTCTTCATCGTTATTTAGTAAAATTGCGGCTCTGCAAATTATGTGTTTTTTTTTTAAAAGTTAAACAAAAACAAAGAAATACTGCTCGTAAAAATTTTACTTGTAAAATAATAAATAAAAAATAGAGTTAATTACTTCACTAGTGCTGTGACAAACTGAAATATAAGTTTTCAAGTACAATTTATTGAATAATATATACCATTACATTTTCACTTTCCTTATGTCAAAAAAGTTAGGGTTAGGGTAACCCGTACCTCAGGGTTAGGGTACCCTAACCCTGAGTGTACGGATGAATGGTTTCAAAACTAACTACTTTAACCGATGATTTCAAAGAATCAGCTTTTTTTTATATATATAAATGTTCTTTATCTGATTGTTGAATTTATGATTAATGAACGAGTTCATTTAGTAACACTAGATGATATGAAATCACTTTCCTGATTATCTGTCTATTAAAGATATTTTTGTAACCCACTGCAATATTTTTTTATTGTAAACAACATTATATGTTGTGCGCGCTAGTTAAGGCAAATTATATATGTTCATAAAACTGGATTGAAAACCAACCATTTTTTCTGAACCTAAAATAAGATTTAAAAGGCCTAAACATTAAAAAATCTAATGACTGCAATCTTTGAATGCAGTGTGGCTGAAATGTAAACAAAATGAAAAAATCTTTTTTTGCAAATCTTATTATTTCAAATAAAATGTGGCTTTCATGGTTGTCCATTAATAACAGCACTAGATAATCCGCATTTAGCTTAGTATGGGATACAATTTGCTTTATTGCAACTAAAAGGTTGTCACTTGTCATTAAACTACTTTTGTTACACAACCCTAAACTTCTATCCGTGCTCCACTTATTATAATTTCCTTGTAGTTTACTCTTGGAAATAGCAATACAGGTGGAACGTTATTATCAATATCATTTAGAAATACCAACATTGTCACCAACTACCCTCTTTCTGCTGGAACAACTCGATAAACTTGCCTAGTTCCACGACACAGTGGGATAAAACTGAGTTTTTTGTACCAAAATTATTTTGGTAGTTTTTTTATTTAGAATATTATATAAAAAATTCATAAATAAAGTAATAAATATGTAACTGCATAATATACAAAAATAATTAAAAAATTAAATTTTGGTGAAAAATACGAAATATTTTTTGTGGACAACTTTTATCGGTGTGAACATCAAAAATATTACTTTTCAATGCATGTATTTGTCATAAAATAACTTTTTTAGATTAATATTTACAGAACTTATATACTTTAACAGTAATGAAAGATTATTACAAAAAGTAGCAAAATATTTATAATGCTAGGCCATTTGCACACATTTAGCACAAGATTTATATAATCAAATGTTTGGATAATATTGGAGGATGGTTTATCTGATACCTAATAGTAAATAAAAAGTAGTAAAGGTTAACAGCAAAAATAATATCGAAGACTGTCTGTTTTCTATGCATAAAAACTAATGATTACACTTACATAAAATTAAAAGTCTGAGCGAAAAAAGGATTGTTAACTTAAATAATATATTTTAAAATGAAAGTCAATAAAGTTAATCTAAAACAATATTAGCATAAGAAAGTTGATAAATAAAAAAATGCAACATAGCGTTTTGGAACACATGTCAAATTCATGTGTAAATAACCACATAAAATAACGCTTAAATTAATTTTTTTAACTAAATATTTCCTCTAATGAACTTGCCTTCACAATTATAACAAATTTTCACCATGCAATGCCAACAATTTTTGGTATTTTGGCACGCACGGTGCATGAGTTGAAATAATCTGGAGATTCAAACTTTCAATAACTTTGTCTCATCTGCATTTAAAATACATTTTTGTTTAAATTTATGTTTTACTTGAACTTCTAACAAAATCTTCAACACAAGTAATAATCTTTCCAACTTGCTTTCCAGACAAACCAAATCATTTACTTTCTTTACTCAACTTATTTCTTGTTTCTGATACTAGTCAGTAATCAGTTTTTACACATTCACCACTTTTTGAAGTAGAATAAGGTAATAGTTTTAGAGAGATCACGGTTTGATCTCTTTAAAATTATTATCTTATTATTTATTATCACCAGAATCCTTCTATCATCATACCTCTTAAAACTACCTTAAAGTTGAATGGGACTCTTTTGATGGTCTTTTTTGTGATAGCCGTTGCGTATAATTTTTTTTTTTCCTGCCAACAAATAAGCTACTTATGTAACTTTTTAGATTTAGGATGACATGCAATCTTTTATTCCCTCTTGATGACCCTAAGTCAAGTCTCACTCTTCCCCATGGTTTTTTTCTAATTTGTGCTGCTGCAATTTCTATTTGTAATTATAACTTTCAAATCTATTGCCAGAATAATTCTCCAGAAAGCAGGCGTGTATTTAGTACTGCTAGAAACCCTTGTAAAAAAATATTGTCAAACGCCATAGCCCACAAAATCTCATATTTTATTTCAAAAATTAGGTTAGAAACTTCTGGACATAAGGCTCTGGTAACTTATAGAGAATCTTTAACAGCATCTATAATAAGGGCATATCATTTGCATGGTTCAGATTTTGCTTCCTCGCATAAAGACAAAGCTTAATTGTTTGCTAAAAACTTTTTATTTATTTTATCTCTTGATTCCTCTATTCACATCTTACTTGATATAGATGACAAACATTTAATGATTGTGTTGTATATAATCTGCATATGGGTGGGATCTTTGGTGCAGCTATATGAAAAGGATGGTGAATAGTTGTGAATCGACTTTTCTTTGAATAAACATGTTATCAAATTAGTAGAAGAAAAAAGAAAAATTTAAAATTTACAGAACAATAAAAACATTTTTGTGCGCTGAAGAGTCTGTAGTGCGATGCAAGAAATAAAGCTTTGTTTTTTGGAAATTATTCTATATATATTATATAGAAGAATAGCTATTTAGTTTATATGGCTGTAAACCAAATAGCTATTTTTTCTTTGCCATAGTTTAGAGCCTAATAAATAAGGTGATATTGCTCACATATTATTGCAAAATTGTGTTTACACATCAAAATATAAAAATGTGTACTAAAGAGTTTTAAAAATCAATAATTTGTATGATGATTTCCAAAGGAAAAAGTGCTTTCTATAAATATTTTTATTTTATTTATTTTAGGTTGTTTTATAGTTTACTTTAATTATTTATTATTTATTATTTTAAGCTTATCAACAAACGTAAAAAAGAAATAGAAGATGGAATAGAAACTGGTGAAAAAGATTTTTTAACAATTGTTTTAAAAGATCAACAAAAAGAGGGCAGCAAGATGACAAATGATTTGATTAGAAATAATCTAGTAACACTTTTAATTGCTGGTCATGAAACAACTTCTGTAGCAATGCAATGGTGCTTATACATTCTTGGCATAGTAAAAAAAATTTCAAGTTTATATATATATGTTTAAATTTTTATATATATATTTTTTAATCATTACAACGACTAGACACTTTATATCAGTAAGGTTTAAATAACTTTTCTTCTCTCTCTCAACATTTTCGTTCAACAGTTAATGAAGTTTTTTTCTCAACATGCATTTTTTTACTTTTAGAATGTTTGTTTAAATGTATAATATCCCTAAATGTTTTTTTGTCCGAAAAACATTTACCTTTTGTGACTTTTAATTTTACAATGTATATTGTTACATCTTACAATCATATCACCATCTTTTAAACTTATGTGACAAATTAGATCCTGAAATAATAAAACTTACTAATTTTTTAAAGATAAGAATTTATTTGATATGTTAAAATTTCTTCACACAAAAAATCTATAAATTAAAAAGTCTTTTAATATCCATACACAAAATTGCAGCATTAATATCGAGTAACAAGAAGTTGAGTTTTTACTTGTGAATAAAATCCTTGGGTTTTTTTAAGTTATAACTAATTGTTTTTTTCTAATTAATGATAACCAGTTTGTTTAATTTCATTCATATCTTGCAATGGCTTTTCTGTAACTGTATAATTTCAAAGCATATTTTTTAAAAAAATAACATCTAACAACACCATCTGGTACTTTAGAATTATAAGATTCAGCAGATTGAGCTGATACAAGGATTGTTCATAAAATAGCTGCCTCTAGTTTTGATTTTAAAATATATTGTTGTTAACTTTACTGGTAGAGTTAGTGGTAACCATTAAGAATTATAATCAGTTACTGTTTTACATTCTCACATTTTAACAGTTTTATCAACCCAATATAAAGCTGCAGCGGTATGAGTAGATGCTTCAGCAAGGATTCCCTCGGGTATCATTTAAATTTTGAGAATGAAACACCAAAAAAATTTACGAAATAAGTAATTTTTTTATTTAAACGCTTACATGATTTATAGGTCGTCATACCTTCATATTTTTTTTTTTTTTTTTTTTTTTTTTTATTTTAATTCACCTCCTCAAGGCCGAGAAGGCCACTACAGACGAGGAGGCTACTTAATTATGGTTATAACCCTCTCTCAACTCTATAACTCCGAAACACGAACCTTGACTAGCAAGGCCGCTGCACGGAGAAACGAGTTGAGCGCAGTACTACCAGGGACGTGGTGGTGATCGAACTCGGAACCACTTGTTTATGAAGCGAGCCCTCTACCACTACACCACTACCGCATCGATAACATCTCGCTCTTATCATCAATAACATCAGCGCTCTACCACTACACCACTACCGCATGTATAAGAACTTGGTGAAAGTGTCTTACTCCTTTATATTTTTGTTCTGATTCCAACTTTTTTATTATTATTGTTCCTATTACTTCTTTTTTTATTATTTGTATTACTGTTGCTTATTTTCTTTATTATTTCCTTGTTTTAATATTTTTTTAAATTTTATTTGTTTATTTTGTTAAGGCATCACTCCATTGACTAGTTTTTAACAATATGAACCTAATTGAACTAAACACTGAACCTAACTTTGTAAATTTTAATTGAATTTGTAATATATGATTTTATGGTTAAATAATGGGATATATATATATATATATATATATATATATATATATATATATATATATATATATATATATATATATATATATATATATATATATATATATATATATATATATGTATATATATATATATATATATGTATATGTACACTCACACACAAATGTTCATATAGATATATATTTTACTTTTAGAATTCAGATGTTCAAAACAAGCTACGAGAAGACATAAAGAAAAATGTCTTTGATATAAAAAGTATTACGTGTGAAGAAGTTTTAAGTATTAAGTATTTAGATTGTGTAGTTAAAGAAGTGTTGCGCTTGCATCCGCCTGTATCATTTATAGGTAGAATCAACACTAGACAAACAAACTTTGGTGAATATAATGTACCTGCTGGCTCTTATCTACGAGTTCCTATTAACAGTGCTCATATGAATGAGTCTGTTTATCCTGATCCTTATTCATTTAAGCCAGAGAGGTTTCTGACAGGTATGATAAAATTACTTGCATTGATTATTTTATTTTTAGTTATACACACACACACGCACACACACACACACACACACACACACATATAAACTATGTTAGTGTACTCTCCTAATAGAGTGCTAAATGTTCTAATAGAACATAGCAATAATAAATTAGTAAAAACTTTTATCTAATTTTTTTTTCTGTAAACAATATTCCACAATATATATATATATATATATATATATATATATATATATATATATATATATATATATATATATATATATATATATATATATATATATATATATATATATATATATATATATATATGTATATATATATATATATATATATATATATATATATATATATATATATATATATATATATATATATATATATATATATATATATATATATATATATATATATATATATATATATATATATATACATATATATATACATATATATATACCTATTACGGTGACATATAAATGCATAAAAAAAGTTTTATTCTCTCAACCTTTTCTTTGCTTCATTTAATGAAAAAAATATTTGTAGAAATTTTGGATACAATCTGTTGATTTTAAGGAGTTGTTTAGCCCAGTTTTTAAGTTTACAAGGTTGCTTGAACTTACAGTTTTAATTTTATCATTTTTGTCTTTTATTTTATTAATTAAGTTAAGAACGTTATCAATACTTTATTGTCTCTTATGAGTTAATATGTATAATACACATTGTTATTTTTTTCAGAAAATTATAAAGTTAAAATACATTAGTTGGCTGGCAATTAGAACACCCAGTGTAATATTTCATCATCCAGTTAAGTTATTGCATTAGTATTGCACTACTGCTGAAATTATTGCATCATCCTGAAATTGCAAAAAAGTAATTGTCTTAAATAAAAACACATTTTTAAAACGTTACTAGACAGATATTTCAAAATCGAGGAAACTAGAAGTCAAAACAAAGTATGCTTTATTGGTCAAGCTACAACTGTGATCACAGGACACACATTGTCATTTAAAAGACAATATTTTTTCTTTAAAAATAACAACAATATATGAGAAAGTGCAGGTCTTGTGACAGAACAAGTTTTAGACTTTTGGCAAAGAGCTAGAATTCAAACAAAATAATGTTATCATGTAATAGCACATTTAAAAATACTTGTTGGGAAATCCTGAAAAAGAATAAAGACTACAAAACATAAACTCAGCAAAAAAATGCTGAACTATTTAATATTGCTCATGAAGGTGCTTTAAAATTAATCACAATAGAAAACAACTTTCTTACTTCAAAGTGAAGGAAGAACTGGCTATATGAGTTTAGTTGATTGTAAATTATGCAAAAGAGAACAGCAAATTTTATGCAAAAAAAAAAGCAAAGAAGAAACATCTTCAACAGGAACAGTCTAGTTTTGGCAAAATCAGACTCCTCTCAGAGTACTAATAATGAACTAGATGATTTTATTCCATCATCACTAAAAAAATTAAAAAATGAATAAAGTGAAGAAACACAAACAAAACGGCTGATTACTCATTCATTTTGTTCAGCTCCTGATTGTTTCACGACCATTACAAATAATTTCTGTAACTGTCGATTATTTTTCTAGAAAAACACATCCAGGTCAAAGTTAAATAACTTTTTGTACTCCTAGTGCAGTGCACCAAGCATGATGGATAGCAATAAATACAACATCGTACTCTATTAAAATTTATTTGTTTCATTTTAACTTTATTTAACAATAAATTAAGAAAATAATCTTTCGATTTTTTTAAATTTAGATTTACATGGAACATTGGTTTTGGGCTCTTATCTCTTTATACGCTCTTCAAAATGACCTGACACTGATTAAGAAACTGAATAATTTCAAAATATTTGCTATTTTCTGAAGATATTTGAAATTTTTGAATAATAATTGTACTTACCACAGAGTTTTTTCAAATCGTTTACACAATTTTACAATAGGGTACAATTGCAGTTCTTAAAATAGACCTTTTTGCAAAGATTTCTGGGATCAAAATGCGAACAAACAATAAAATTTGCAAAAAAACATGTTTTCAATTTAGAAGAAAATGTTTATAAAAGTGCAATAAAACAATGTTGTTAGGATTTATTCATCTCATTTGTCAGCTTTTTGTTATTTTAAACGTTTGCTAGCTGGTATAATTTAAAAAAATAAGAAAAACTAAAAATATGATGACAAACTTGTAAAAAAAAGATATTTGAAAAATAAAATTTTCGATTTTATAAATTTAAACAAAAAGTTTACATCTTGTAGATTTCTCGTCAAAAAGAATGAAAATAATATTAACATAGATACAAATAATATGTATAATCATTATAAAAAAGAAGTTTGTAAACTCTTCATTAGTTCTGATACAAATGCTCAATGGAGCACTGTTGATTTTAATACTGCAAATAGCCATAATTTTATTGTTGATTCTATCATTTAGTCTTTTATTATATGAACATAAAAATATGATTTTATCGCATTAATGAATCTCAATTTTCTACTTTTATGGCTTTCTTTGACAAGCAAATTATCAACTTTCATATTATATCTCAAGAAGCGTGAGGGTTGAAACAAAGTCCTAATATTTATCTGTAAAAAAACATAAGCATGTATAAAATTTTATATCAGTGTAGCATTGGTGATGTGACTGTATTTCAGAAGTGTGGAATTACGGAGTAAATTAATTTTAAAGATTCTTTATGTCTATAAATTTATAATTAAAGACATCGTTTTACAGAAACTTGCTACTATTTGCATTATTTTTAAGTGTGTAAAAATGTTACAAAAGAGGAATTCATGCAATCAAAAAGCACGTGTTTATTTTGAACAATACAATGAACATTTGTGTTCATTGTATTGTTCAAGGAGTAATGCTTTATTTATATTCACTATTTAACTTTATAATTGGTAAACCTTTAATAATTTCCTTTGTGTTTCAATATCTTTGCAAAATTTATAATAATACAAAAAAAACTTTATACTGATACAAAAAAAAAGTCCATTTAAAAAGATTAAAAACCTTTTTAAACAAATTTTTCAGAGTTTAAATTTAAGCTTTTTTTTTAATTATGGGTTAAAACTTGTTCATAAACATTTTTGTAAGGTATGTAGGGTAGTTTAGGGTAATATAAGCTCTAGGATTATGACTTTTTAATAATCCCATGCTCCTGTACTGTAGTTTTATGAACTTTTACCTAAAAAGCTCGAAATGAACTTTTATTTGTATATCTTTTCAAAAAAGTTCACACCGCCATTGAAAAAACAATTTTTGACATAAGCACTACTTGTATTCAAAATGTATTCAAATGTATTTAGAATGTCATAGTCATGTAATAAAATAAATTTTCAATCCAATAATGGCTCAGACTGTTGATCTTACTCTTGCTTGTTGTACTGAAGGAATTGAAGGTTGCATTTTTGCTTTTCCTCCATTATTTTGATTGCGCGATCTGAGCATTGATTACTTCTTGGTATCTGAAGTATGGATGGCTCTTGCTTCCAGTGATTTTTCAAAGAGCTTAAAGCCTTTTTATATGGATTCAGTATATCAGCCAAATTATTAGTCTTTTTTATTGTACAGTTGGTCTGTAAACCAATGGTCTATCCAGTTATACGACATAAATCTACATATTCTCTGCAGAACTGTCCTTGTTGAAGGAATTAAAATGAAGGCCAATATCGCTAGTATAGCTCTGGAGTTCCACCTCGCATTGCTGATGTTGGGTATTTTCTGAAACCTGATTGATAGAAAATATCCCTTTTCCTCAATAAATCAGAACACTCTAGTAAGATGAAACAAAAATTTCGTATCATTTCTCCAGCCTGATACTTCGAGAATTACTTAAGTTCCGTTATCAAACTGTGTTTTTAGTTGTTTACACTCCTTCAACAGTTAAAATATAAATGGACATTCGATGTTTGGTGATTGTGTTTTACTTTCAAGCTCTTCATCCATCACCTAATGGAGGATTCTATCTAATACATGGTGTTGACAACTGATAAACTGAGGTTTGTTGATGCATTTCTCTGTGAACATTCGTTGCATTATTACAACAACACCATTCTTTTTTCCAGTGTTAACGCGGGTGGTACCTGCAACAATCATCTGTATTGAGTTAGGAGGGGGGGGGTCCAAAATTCTATATTTCTCGTTTAACCAGTTATTTATTAATTTTTTGAGAAAAGTTTAAAAAACAATTCAGTTTTTGCTAATTTTTTATGGTTGACCTTCTACTTCTATTTTAAGAATTTAAAGATATAAAAAATAAAAGTCTTTGCAAAAGTTTCTTTGCGTATAAACTTACGCAACTTTTCTTTCAAATTTACGCTATTTAAATTTTGATTGGATAAATTTGATTTTTAATCGTTGCGTTTTAGAAAAAAAAAGTTTTATCTGAAGTCTTTTTCTAAAAAAACGTTTTAAATAAGTAAAACGACAGATTGCTTTAAAAAAAAGTTTTATCTGAAGTCTCTTTCTAAACAAAATGTTTTAAGTAATCAAAAAGACAGATTGCTTCAAAATATCTTAATTTCCTTTTTTTTATTTATTTTTAATCGTTATTCAAGCTATCAAAAAGGCTTCTCATAATTTCATTTTTTATTTCACTTTTCTTTAATGAAGTCAAGAATAAATCTTCTTTTAATTGCCAGTCAGTAGAAGTTCAGTTAAATTCTAAAGTTTTAACAATTCTAAAGATAAACAGGCTAAAGGAACACCGCTACCTAAAAGGCTTTATAAAAAACAAATGGGTAATCAAATTTTGAAATTTTCTGTTTTACTCTAAAACGCAGTGAATAGCTAGTTAAAAAAAAATTCTAGAAGCAGTTAATATGTATACCTCAAAAAGGTTGAATAATTGTATCATTCTTGCTAGAGTATTTTGGCAAAAGTTAGCCTCAGGACTTCAAAAAAGAGAAAAGTATTTTGTGTTTGGTTGATGATGAAATATGATTAGTATTAACTTTCTAATTAAGTTGTTGCAGTTGGAAAGCTTTG